TTCAACAATTTTATAATGAGCTCGAGGCCATTTTTAAATGAAAAATTTATTGTGGAAAAGCAACAACAATTTGAAAAAATGGTAGAAGTGATAGCTATTTCGGCCTCGAGCTCATTATAAAATTGTTGAATTCTAATATAATATTTACAATTATTTTCATGAAATATTTTTCTCATAAATTTTTTATGAAAATAAAGTATATTTCATACTTTATAAGATTCACAAAAGTTCAAAAAAATTTCATCAAAATTTCAAACCTTTTTCTCAGAATTTCTAGAAAATTTATTGGCCATTCAATTTAAGTGTAATAAAATGTAAATGAAACAATTTTTCCATACAACTAATTGGGAATATTATATCAGAACAAGTTGTATACTAATTTTTGACAGCGACTATAAAAAAAAATTATAAGTCCGTCAGAAAAACGGAAATTTTTTTTGGAGATGCATCCTAATGCACATACATATCGCTAGCTTAGAGTGAAAAGTTGCCAAGTCCACTTTCTATGAAAACTCATATTTTGATACTTACTTATATGTATGTGCATACGTATGTGTGCATGTATGTACATACTTTTTCCATTTTTTTTGTTTTTATTATTATTGTTGATCTCACTCGATTGATCGTCTCTTATGGTGCCGTGCCGGTGGCTTTTTTAGTGTTTTTGCTGTTCCACTTCTTTTGTTGATGTTTTTGAAACTATGTGCAGGTATTTGTTATTTTTATTTTGCTACTTTTTCGCACTATGCACGCTTATTTTCCGTTCCATAAAACTAATGGAGCGTATGAGTTTGGATAAATAAATGAGACTTGACAAAATTTGTATGAAGTATTTTTCAAGTTTCTTTCCAAATACTGGTATGGCCATAATTATTTTTAACAATATATTTATCGATTTGTTTTTTCGATAATTTTAAGCATTTCTTTATAAACATTGTGGTCGGTATGTTATCGATCTTTTTGATGAAAATTTGTTTATTTCCTACGACAGTCGGGTCTACATCGCACGAACGACACAGATCTATGTACATACATACATACATACATATGTATGTATATTTGGCCAATGACCGTTACTCCAGCTGAGTCTCCAAAAACTATGTAGGGAATTTTTATGCTGTTAAAACAACAACAACATGAAGTTTTATAATTGTGCCATACTTTTGATTGCGTTTCAATGTTTACTCGAAACTTTTTTAATTCAACAAATTTAATAATTTTTTATTAAAACCACCGAAAACCGATCAAGCTATATTGGTAAATTTAGGAATCTAAAAACGAAGACAGAAAATAATCAATATTTTGTAATAAAATATGTGGGCCTAGTAATTAAATGTGTTGGAATTTGGGTTAATTTTTTTTTCCTGTTTTCCACTCTCAGAAAACAAAGGTCATACTATAAAATGACTTAGGTGTAAATACTCTTTTGTTCCAATGTTTGGTGAGATTTTTTCATTGTTCGAAAACTTCTTTTCGAAAAATTGTTCGACAAATTCGAAAACTACATAAAATTCTCTAAAACATTCTCTAATTGCAAGACCTGAAGGACCGTTACTCAGACTTTTCTTTACTAATAATCTTTAGCATCTACATTTCAAAGTAAATTTTTGGGCAAGAAAATAGGAAAGTAGCAAATAAATGATAAATACTTCCACCTGAATATTCCACGACATTTTAATAATTGATTACAGTTGACAAATTAACTCTTTCTTTAATGGGTTAATCGCCAAAGGCAACTAAACTAATTAGTNGTACTCTCTCTTTTATTAGAAAAACCTAAATATAAAATGTGGGGAAGATTGGATCACTGTAAATAATGTAAAATTTGGTATTTATGACTTTTACTTTTCCCCCTCTAAATCCAACCGGCTTTTTTGTATCAACTCTCATCATGACTTTTTCCACCTGCCTCTGTATAGTTGAAACACTGTGCGACGAAATAAAAACAATGATAAAATAATGTTACATACATATTTACTATATAGTACTTATTAGAAGTTTACTGATTCAAGTGCTTCAAGAACTGTAAGCTTGAGTGTATTGGACATCAACACCTCGGACAAATATGTATATTATGAATTCATTCAAATATTCTTACAAGAACAATATGGTATTTGGAGCGTTTGGGGCTATAGTGACCCAACTGATCTGTGTCGTTCAATTAGCTCGTGTTGATAGCAATTTTCATCATCCCACATAATTCCAAATGGACAATATCAAATGAAAACCAACTTATAATCATAATAATAGATATTTTGGCGCGTACCCTAAGTCTTTGGCCGAGTTTCTTCTCCAATTTGTGGTGGGCGTCCTGATGCTGTAATACAAATGAAATAACGTACAATTTTAAGACACCTCCGAACAGCAAATGATGGTTTTATGAGGAAGTGCGCCATTGCCTGCCGAGGGGCGACCGCTGCTGGAACAACTTTTTCTAATTTAGATGTTCGGAACAGGCATCGAACTCAGGCCCAACGGAGTGCAAGTAACAATTCAGCCCCATCGGCTGCACCACCTAGCTTAGCATTTAATTGAACACTCGACATTTTACAGGAAAAAAA